AGATTGACTGATTGGTTGATGATTGACTGATTGACTGAGAAGAAAAAAAGAAAGTGCACTGTGCGCACATACTCCCTTTGTCTGTCTGTCTCGGCGGGGGGGGGGGGGGGGGGGGGAGGGTTCATGGACGCGCGCGCGCGCGAGAGAGAGAGAGAGAGAGAGAGAGAGAGAGAGAGAGAGAGAGAGAGAGAGAGTTTTCCTGGGTAATCCAACAGAGAGAATCCTCTTATGTGATCCAACCATCCACTCTCCCTACTGAATGTGGACGATTTCAGACTGGAATGTGAGATAAAGAAGCAGGAGAAGCTGTCCTACCCCCCATCCGGGAAGGCAAAAGATGTCCTCTTGCCTGTTGACCTTTTCAGAAACGGAAGGAGAATCAATATTATCGAATGGTGATGATTCAAAGATCAAAATGGCGAGACAGAAGTAAATTTCCTAGAAAGAATGAACTGCTATCAGACAACTACACCTGACCCACTTGTTTTCCGCTCGTCCTCCTCCTCCTCCTCCTCCTCCTCCTCCTCCTTCCCTCCTCTGCCTCCCCCTCTCCTAATTCAGTGACTAATCCTTGGGGGCAGAAATAAGAGGAGACGACTCGGAGATATCCTTTGACTCCTTCGCACTGCCATTCGCTCCTCCAAGCTTATTATTTATTCTATTCCATTCACACTCGACTCTGAAGAAAATCCACTGCCACCGCCGGAATACCTCCAGCAGTGCAACCACAAATTTCATCAATTCCTTTCCACCCAAGTGTCCAATGAAGTGATAATCTCCCAAATGAGCAGAGAGCTTATATGTCCATGTCCCACGCAACACCAGGTCGGACAAGATGACCCAGTAGTACGTCCATCTAGCAGAGTAGTACAGGTTGCGGCGAAGCAACGGAGTTCTTCCAGAGATGCACCCGAAATCCCAATCTCGTGCGACGTCCCAATAGAAAGAATAGGATGAATTGAAGATGCTACTCATGACCCATGCGACCTCAAATATGTGCCAATACGTAGGCGATGCATGGTACTTCATTGCAGACAGAAAAATGACGGGAAAGGAGGTTGCATACTTCAGAGCATTGAAAAGGCAGGACTTGTCCCCGGTGTCGGTGTACTGACGAATGCACTGAAAAAAACGGCAAGCATATGGCAGAGCGAGAATGAAGAATGGTATCAATCTCGTCTGATCACTGCACAGCTGAACAGCATCCTCGTCAGGATTCACTTTGTCCCTTATAGCCGACGTTGTCATCCAGCAAAGAGCCCTATCCATTTCCGAGAAAACTCGTGCCATTGATGTCATAACATCAGCAATAAAGAAATCTGAAAAGCTGATTGCCTGGAAAGGCAGACAAATGCGAACTAATGTCTTCAAGAAGAAATGTCTTGAGCTTAAATGAAACGCGTCGATTGGAAATGCAAGTACAAACGGTATTGCTGCGTAAGAAATCATCGTCTGCAGAGCAGCCAGATCTCCATCACCGACGAATAACAAATACATACAGCAGGCTGCACACACCGCTAGAAGTGTCGACAGCCACCCGGCGATCTTCCAAATGTCTCCGTGTGTCAGGTGGCCGTGATCAAACTCAAAGATTTTGGAATAGCTCACTCTGGAGTTGGCAAAAACATACAAGTTGATTCCCCATAGCCACAACACAATGACAACAACGACGAGAGGATTATAATACACAAATGTCTTGTACAAGATAGCATGCCGGATCCCTGGATCTGATGCCTGAAAGATCGTGAATAGGAAGTAACCTGCACAGACCAGCAACACCGCCTGAATGCGCCAGTGCTTGGAGGAAGAGGTTCCAAAAGTAGAGACTCCATACTTCAGACGTGACACAGAATTCTTCAGATTCATGTCAGTCGGGGAGGAAGGAAGAGCCCCTTCCTCATCACTTCCCCCTGTTTCCGAGTAACCATCCATCTTGGTCTTCGGAGGCCTTAGTTCTCTTAAACTATGTTTCATCGTCTTCCCTCCTGTCTTCAGTCCCGGTCAATGGCAATGGATGACACCGTTCAATTTTCGGATGAGTCAATCTTTCGTCTGCAGTAATATGACTGTTTTCCTCCCCACCAATCGATTTCCTTCCCCCCTCTTCTTTGCTTCTGGATGGTGTGATCGATGCAGGTGTATAATGGTGGTCCCACTCCCGACGCTAATTTCTCTCTTCCATTCTTCCATCGACTATATGTGCTTTCTCACATCACTTCTTCAGCCCAGAAGTTCAGATCGCACCTGATGCTTCTATCTGGTGCAGGGCTCATCACTTGGAGCAGCAAGGCGGGATTGCAAGCAATACCGACTGCTCCCAACGACGGCGGATGCACAGGCAACAGAGTGGACGACGTCACCTCACGGTGGGATCTATGCAGGTGTATAATGGTGGTCCTCTCAACGCTAATTTCTCGCTTCCATCGACCATATGTGCTTGCTCACATCACTTCTTCAACCCAGAAGGTCAGATCTCACCTGATGCTTCTATCTGGTGCCAGCTCGTCACTCAGCGCAGGAAGGAGGGATTGTGAGCAATACCGACTGCTCCCAACGATGGCGGATGCGCAGGCGACAGAGTGGACGACGTCACCTCACCTCACCAATATGCCGCAGCAGTGCCTTCTCATCTCCTTCCTGAGCCGCCCTCCAGTGCGGCAATGCCATAGTCGGTTATAAGGACCCCCCTCAGTCAGAAAGACAACCTACACACGGCAGCAGTGGCACACCACATGGGAAGTGCTGGCACTCCTGCCTTACCACATCGTGTTAACTGTCACCTTCCCTCCCCTCTCCTCTGGAAGACCTTGTCAAGCACTCAGAGAATTCCCTGCACATCCTGTTTCATGCGTATAAGCATTCACTCCTGTCCACTGACGCATACAACGACGGTGCCCGGGCATGCGTGCGCATCGATCCGGCCCTGTCAAGCTTCCGTCCGCTGCGGGCTCGAACAGCGAACGAACGAGCGAATTTCTCAGTCCGATCCTTCAAGGTCCTTGTGACAGAAAAAATGGAAAAAAACAAAAAAAACAAAAAAAAAAACGTGTGACATGGAGACTACCGTTTTCCCCCAACACAACACACCCTGATCATGAATGTGTACAAGGTATCTTTCCGTCCCATACAGTCATCATGACCGTGTGTTGTGTTCGAGGGTAGACAGGTATGCGTACAGATTCCTACTGACTCGCCGGTCGACCAATCCTTGCACGCCATCAGATTGATTGAAAGGATCTCATGTGTCAGTCACGGTCCCACGTTCCAGTCGCAGCTGCCCCAAGGTGCACACCATTAGATTGACTGAAAGGATTTCATGTGTCAGTAAAGTCCCGTGGTCCCCGCTCGCAGCTGCCCCAAGGTCCCAGTCCAATGTACCACAGACAAACAGGCACGCCCTGAGGCCAAAACGCCCCCATTCAGGTCCCGCAGATGGCCCTGTTCAGGTCCCGTAGGGCAGTCCAACGTCGGCAGAAGTCCGATAGGTACCAACGGGCCTAGCTCAGTTGGCACAACCATGAACTGTTGAAATACAGACCTGCGTTCGAATCCAGATGCAGTCAGATTAACAAAATAACATTACTTCTGAATTACCCAGGGCCGGCCAGTTCAATAATAATACCTCAAGGCCACCGCCCTTTTCAACAAAACAAAACAAAAAAAAAAAAATAGAACTCCGCTAGGTGTGTGTGTTGGAACCACTTCGACCGAAGAAGTCCACTCCCAGTCCATTTTACTTTATTTTTCTTTTAAAAAACGGCGACGACCTTGAGATATGAGCATTGAACTGACCGGCCCCAGGCAATTCCGAACTTATTTAGTCTGTTCATGTGGTTGTATCTGGGTCCGAACTTGGGACTGTATTTCAACAGATCATGGGTGTACCAACTAGGCTAGCCCCGCGGGTTCCAGTCCAAATTTAGCACCAGCATCCAGGGAAGGTCCTGGAACTTGTGGACTCTATGACAATTGTGGCCGGCAGCCCCAGGGACCGTTACCAGTCCGCAGCAGACAAAGGACCTCTCTCCAAAACTCTCCACATGCACAAAAGACACACTCTTGCAGTGTATTTTTCCATGTTCTAGCAAAAGATTCATTCTTTCTTTTTTTTTAATTTTGGACCATGTCTCCATTTGTGTGTTTCATCCTTGCGCGAGGGCCATGCTAATCTTCTCTGTATAACTCCAATCTCTCCACAACTCTCCACATGCACAAAAGACAAACTCCGGCAGTGTGTTTTTCCATGTTCTAGTGGAAGATTCATTCTTTCTTTTTTTCTAATTTGGACCATTTCTCCATTTGTGCATATCATCATTGCATTGCTACTAATCTTCTCTGTATCGCTCCAATTTTAACGGATGTCCTGAAGACCTAAAGATTCATTCTCATTTTGCACATTTGGTTAAAAGTGGAGCTTGGCCCTCAATTGCAGCAACTACAAGTAGCTGCTACAGTACCGGGATGACACACACGTTTTTCTCTTTTTTTTGGTCCCTTTCTTTTTTTGGGGGGGGGAATTTCAGCTATATCCAAAAACAAAACGCGGCCACGGACCTCACAATTCTACCCGGATGGCACTCAGAGCATTACTCTTCGCGTGGTGGTTCTAATTGGTGACCTGCTTGGAAACCGGGTCCAGCATCCTATTTTTTATGCTTCCACACCAAGTAGACGACACACTTGTTCATTGGCATGCTGCAGAAGTGCTGCTGTATGCTTGTGCAATGATCCGAGAGTGAGACTCATCAGGCGATTTGGAGGAGTTACCAGGCAATGTGCCCCATAGCTGTTGTCTCCCCCCACCACAACGCACCCTCTCGTTATGGCTGTACCGGACCGGAAAGATACCTTCTATACATTCATTATCTGGGTGCATTATGTTCGGGGGAAGACGGTAGGATCGAGTGTCAAAAAAGGAAGTAGACGAAAGGGACGAATGAATGTGCTTGTAGCTCAATTGGATAGAGAACCAAACTACGGATTTGGGGGTTGAGACATGGTAGTGGGGAGAGAGTGTGCTAGGGAGAGAGAGAGGAAGGTAGTCACACAAGTTCAGAGCGAAGAGAGAAGAGGGAGGGAGAGAGAGGGAGGGAGGGAGGGAGAGGAAGCGTGGCTGAGTGTTGGGTTTCAGCGGCCATAGCTGTATTTACTCGATGTTCAGATTATTGCAACAATTTTGTAAATTGGAATAATAATTTCAAGTTTCTGCAAGTATCTCTCTCATTGCTCTGCTGTAGTCATGTCAACTTTCCGTGCTTGTGTGGGTGTTCCATGGGACTGTGAACCTTTTTTTTCCCTTATCCTTACACATATACTCTTAGAGTGAAACGCGGGTCTCTTGTGACGCTCCCATGTGAGACCCGCCAGCCAGTGTTGAGAAAACAAATTGCTGAGCCTGACCCAAAGGCTGCACCGGATGCGAAGGGCGAACTTTCTGGAAGGGTCCATGAGTGGGCACCAATGCGCATGTGCGGGTTGGTCCCTGCAGTCGGTAAAAAGAGAAACGGCGCTGTGCGAAGCGAAAAAGCGTTGGGGGAGATGAAAGAGAGAAATGACATGGGCGCAGTGCGGAACGAAAAGGCGTTGAGGGAGGGGAAAAAGAGAAATGACACGGGCACAGCGAAACAGCATAGGGGGCAGGGACAAAGAGAAACAGCTCTGGGCGCGACGTGGGGAGGCAGAGCACGGGGAGAAGAGATGAGGCCGGTCGGGAAAAGCTCCCGTTGTGTAGGGGTGCTGTCAGCGCGCCCCGCGTTCGCGATGGAGGGGTCACGATGAAGGACGACGCGCTTGAACGACGACACAAGCGGGGGACACTTGAAGAGCGACATAGGGAGGCAGAGCAAGCGGAGAAGGGATCGGCCCCGACCACTGCCGCTCGACCTGACCGGAGAAAACCGTAGCAGGGTGCTAGCGAATATATATTATATACTCTCTCTGCCGACGGTTTACCGGGCACTTTTATTTGACGATACATACCATGACTTCGATAGCACCCTGGTACGGTTTTCTCCGGTCAGGTTGAGCGTCTGTGGTCGGGGCCGTCACTATGCGGCCATGCTGTGTCACTATACAGCCATGCTGTGCCTCTAGTTCCCGCGGCGTGTCTGAAGTGTACTTCTTGGCGGTGATAGACATTTCTTTGTTTCATGGGTGTTTTGCTGGCTTGCGATGGGTTGTGAACCGACAGTGTGTAGAGTTTTCCATCTGGTGTGGGTGAGTGATCGTCCGCTTTGATTTTCGCATCTGGTGTGGGTGAGCGATAGTCCGCTATGATTTTCGTCACAGGTACCTTGAGGTCAGAAGTCCGGCCGTCGTTGATGCTTAACCACAACCGGGGTTAAGGTGGATTACCACGTACAGTGTAGGGGATTCTGCAGACTGTCGAGGGTTCAGCCTCCTGATGAGTCCGTGAAACTCCGACAAAACAGTTTGTCACAGCCCCTTGTTTGTTGTCCTCTTCTCCCTCTCTGCCGCCGGTTTACCGGGCAGTTCTATTTGACGATATATATTGTCACAGAACTATTCACTAAGACCGCAAGCACGTGAAGTAGAAGGAGAAATAAGATGAGCGAAGAGAAGAAAAATGAAACGATAGACAGGCAAAGAGACAGACAAACCAGAACGACACAGAACAATGTCCTCTTATTCTTCGTTTCACTGTATCCTGAAGAAAGGATAAAAATCAAAAACAAAAGCACATTGAAATCATTCAGTTTCTCAGTCTTCTTAACGCCTCCTCCACCGTGCCTCTAACGTACAAGCCTCGCCATATATATATA